ACGTTGGGTCTTCAATGCGATGTGGGTGGAGCCACGTGGAGCCCCGAGATGATCAAACACGATCAAATCCAAAGCTGCACTTTGATCAGAGACAATCAAGGCACAGGCCTTCCAATTACTGACATTGAAAAAACATTGGACTATTGAGGGTGCAGGAGAACTGTTTCATCAAGGCAGATCCTTTTTAGAGACACGTGAAGCTGAAGGATTTCCATGTGCGCATACCTTTCTCCTATCCAGGTGTGACGTTTCAAATGATATCCACTATGATATCCTAGAATTCCAAACTAGACATCATATTGAATATACCAACACATTCCTGAGCGCATTCCCCTTGCTCCGGCTAATCTCATTCATGCAACTCCCACTGGAGGGGCGGCAGCTGGTGTTGACCGATGGTGGTCGTTCAGGGCGGCCAGCCTTTCTGGAGGCAACAACGGACTTTTTGCGGAAAGGAAGCAAACAGAACACACACACATACATATATATATATATACAAAATCGATTGCGGAAAGAGATGACAACAAACTTGTTTGTGGTTCCTAACGTGTTGTTGTTTGTTGCTGCTGCTGCTGCTGTTGTTGTGGTCGTTGTGGTTGTTGTGGTTGTTGTTGTTGTTTCACTGCCAAGCGGTTAAGCCCATACATGTTCTGAAGCAAGCTGTTTGTCCGGAACCGAAGGTCTCTTTGTAGCTTTGTTTGGCAGTCAGCACATCTTGCTTGCGATGCGTTTGTTTTTTTCCAAGAATCGCGGAATGTCCATGCCCGTTATGCCAGTCAGCTTGCGAACTGGGGACAAACAAAAGACCATTCACACTGTATTTGTTTGTTTGTTCTGTAACCCCGATGAGAGAGGGGACCCTCTTCGAGCTGTGGTGTTCAGGGATTCAGCGGCAGTCAAGAGGCTTCTGTGGGTAAAAGAACTGGGGATCAGGAGGGGGTGGGTTTAGTTATATCACATCCTCCCTCAAAGAAATGCCAAATCTCGGGAACTCCAGCAGTTCTTGATTTTGGGTGTTTTCACAAGTTGTCTAGGTGCAAACATCCTGTTGTGGGTGAAGGGTCAATATTGGATTGGTCGCAACCAGGAAGATCCTCGTTTTGGTGGGTTGATTGCAATATGCAATTTGCAACGTAGACGTTTTGCGCCAGCGCAGATTCCCGATTGGATTAAGCATCTTGACGGGACGTGTGGAACTTACATGTTCAACCTGCAAACTTCAAACATGCATGAGTCAGTGAGAGACCCCCCCCGGCCTAAACAAGCAAGAATCATCAAGAATCAGAAGCCCGTGAATTTGAGTTGTCCTGGAGGCGTTTCGAGAGGCCTCCAGCAGCGATGCCTGCTTTGAAGATGTGCCTGGGGGTCCCAAGCGGCGCTGGTGGATGGAAATGAGCACCTGGGAGCAAGGACAGGAACCCCTAGTAACCCTAGTAGCTTCTTGTTCCTAGTAGTAAGGCCAGGTTCACCCCTTGGGAAGTCCCTCGTCTCCCGAAGGATGTCCAACCAATTTGGTGTGGAAGAAGAAAGACAACAAGCTTCACCTCATCGACCTGGTAGAAGTTCACAAAGAGCAGCTACAGAAATGACTTCCAAATTTGTTCTTCAAGTATATGCTTTGCATCAAGTACATACTGTAATGTTTTGTTAAACATCAATGACATGAGAGGCTGCTTTGCCCCGCCAGTTCAAGGGGAGCGCCAACAGCCAACAGGCACCTACAATTCTTTTGAGCCTATCTTGATTCTGGTGCGTTTTTGCTAACCCCCTTGCATGTTGCCGGTATATAGTATTTTAATGTATTTTAGACTATTTACAGCTTGCGTTTTTTGCAGATCATAAATGATCTTGACCATGATGCCCCAATTGCTAGGTCTGGCAATTAATATAATGGTGTGTGTGTGTGTGTCACCCCCTGTGCCAAAGGGTTTAATGCCACCGTTTCCACTACCACCTTTCCACGAGGCAGGGGGCATGGCAGCTGTTTCCCTAGCCATGCCAACGAAGCTATGGGATTCAGCCGGAAGGGAATGTGGACGCACATTCCTGTACCTGCGACACAACTGTTGATCACGCTGTCCAATTGATCGGTTTGATTCATAGTCCTTCATGCTACCTACCCCCAAACCGATTTTCCCACCGCAGACATGCAGCCGACTTGCAGCAGCGCTGAGTGTCCGTTTCTTCGAGTGCGCTTGCAAACATTGTTAAACAATACCTTTTCACGGACTCTGCCACCCTGCCGTTCCATCGCCACTTTACCTGGGAATTGAGTGTAACTGAATACCAATGTCAGAGTGTGTTTCGCTCAGCCGTCCCACTCGGGTGCTGAGTGTGATCCCCGTCACTGGGGCGCTGAATTCATGCCGGAAATCGTGTAACTGAGCTTTTCCACCTTCACCGGAATTCACCACTGGACCGACCTTAACTGAATTTACTGCTTCCACGGCCGCCGGGCAAAAAACGGTGAACCACCACAGCCGCCGGGCTATAAAACGGTACTCCACTTGCAGTCATGCAGTCAGGCAGGTTTCCCATCCCACCCCCCCCCCGCGTTCTTATCCCGACCTAATTAGGGTAACATAGGGAAATGGTACTCGACACACTTGTGTGTCGGTGCCTTTCCCTTTGTTGTCCGTGTTCTAGTCTATCCTACCCGGGCGGTCTAAGACTAAAGTCCCGCTCCCTAACTATTGCATTTAATTCATTTCTGCTAAGTAATCAGTAACTCTAGAGTGCTAGGTATTCAGACACACACATGTACACACACATGAACATACACCCCCTCCCTGCCGCCCGCTTTCTTTCTTGCGCCTTTCGTCGTTTGTTGGGCTTTCTCTCAGGCTTTTTAGGTTGCTCTTGAGGCTCGCTTCCCTGCCCCAGTCAAGGGCTAAGTATTCACTTTTTCTACACCTACCTTTCTTTCTTGCCCTCTTAGCGCTGCTCTTTCTGTCTTTCTTTTCTTTTGTTTCTAAGGCTTTTTAGCTGACTATTGAGGTTTCTCACACGTGCGCCGCGAAGCGGCACCATGTGTGTGTGTGTGTCACCCCCTGTGCCAAAGGGTTTAATGCCACCGTTTCCACTACCACCTTTCCACGAGGCAGGGGGCATGGCAGCTGTTTCCCTAGCCATGCCAACGAAGCTATGGGATTCAGCCGGAAGGGAATGCGGACGCACATTCCTGTACCTGCGACACAACTGTTGATCATTGTTGATCACGCTGTCCAATTGATCGGTTTGATTCATAGTCCTTCATGCTACCTACCCCCAAACCCATTTTCCCACCGCAGACATGCAGCCGACTTGCAGCAGCGCTGAGTGTCCGTTTCTTCGAGTGCGCTTGCAAACATTGTTAAACAATACCTTTTCACGGACTCTGCCACTGCCGTTCCATCGCCATTTTACCTGGGAATTGAGTGTAACTGAATACCAATGTCAGAGTGTGTCTGGATAAGTCTGGATCATTCTTGATTGCACTATATCGGTTGCTTTGCATACATGAGGAAGTTTGATTGTTGCCGCAAGTGCTTTGGAGGACCTTCAGCATCAGATCCTTTGCTTCTGTTGGAGGTATGTGGTCATATCATAATTTTGAGACAAGAAACCAACACGGAAAAGGAGTGAAAAGTGAAAAGACAATCTCTGTCCTAGAGGGCTTGAGGACAATGTTCATCCTCGTTTTGGGGGCTTTCCATTTCATGAACATCCACAACACAAAAAGAACGGCCACTCTCTTCAGCCCCCACGTGAGGCCAGTTCCTGACTGGGCCCCACAGAAGGGCGACTTCTTCGACGGGACCTCCACCCAGACCGTGGGCCTTTTGCGGTGCTTCGGCTCGGCAAGGCGGACGACAAGGCCCCGACAGGACTTCCCTGATACAAGTTTTTTTTTATTCGATGTCCTGTCCTGTCTTTTGTTCTGTTCAGTTGGAAGGCGGATGAACATTGTGTGAAGCTTATCCATCACACGCAAAATAAGTGACACAAGCTTTGATGAAAGATCAAAGGCAGCTGTTTATTTTCCTTGTTTTTGAAAGGGTTTGCTTTCTTGTTGCTACCTATAATATATAACCCGTTGGTTATTTTTCCGACTGATGGTTTGCCGCATACATCCGGGTACACAGTATACTGTATACTGTCTATATACATGTTGAATTGGGGTTAGTTTGGTTGTGATCCAGTTCAACGTTGGGTAGATGAAGATGTCAGATGTCAAGAGCACATATGCGGAGGAACATCAAAATGTCCACACTGGATTTGGATGTGTCCATTTTGACTGGCTACATTGCATGTATTGTTTACCCAAAACATGGACATGAATCCAACTTTGTTTGATATTGATTCAAGGGAATCACATTATATATACTTGTACTTAATTGTTGAATCTAATTCTACCTCCTTTCACCCCAAGAACTCGAATGTGACAATGTGAACTAGCAATCAACTATGATGATCACCCAGGTATTGACAAAGGCATCGACGAACCTGAGAGGCGAACCAGAGGTAGCCAAAGCTGCTACACAGTCTGCAGAAGGAAACTTCCGACGTTTTGCGCCGACGACGTGAAATCATGTGACGACGTGAGGATCCTAATTTGCTGTCCCATAATGGTCCTATAACAACATCTCAGAACTACCTTCCTTTGATTCCGACAACAGGCCGGCTCACTGGTTGAATTGGCAGCTCCACGCATCAAACTAACGGGCATTTGCAGGTTGCTGGCCCGCACTGACCTTGTGTGATCTGTGCATCGTCCAAACCAGGTTGTGAATTGTCACCTGACAAACTCACAATGCACGATGACCAAAGAGCTTGAAGTCGACTGGAAGTTGCCCTTGCACTCTGCAACTTTTTAGTGGTTCAAAGCTGTTTGGCGCACTGCGAGCACACTTGTGATGTTGGTTTTAGGTCAGAACAAACGCCTCAACATTTCATTCCACGCTTTGCACCAGGCATAGTTATAGGCTAGAGCTGCATAATCAAATCAGAGGTATTCTTACGCGCCGTGGACCGTGGCAATTCAGCGCTCTTGTTCAAGCTATGACGGACTTCTTTGTCGCTGCGGGCATTTTGCTTGCCCTCGCGCTTTTGTTGGGCTTTCTGTGGGTGGATTTTCGCCGTGTGGGCCAACATCTTCGGATCTTGGGCAAGAACACAGAGCCCAATGTGAAGAGGCTGACCGTGAAACGCTGATATTGGGGTTCCTGCGAGGGTTGGACGAGGGATGATCCCTAGTTTGGGTGAGTAGAAAACAACAGCTTGGTATATTGTAGCCTGGTCAAGGAAACACTGGGGGCAGCCTTTTGGTTTCTGACAGACCACGTGTTCAATCCGAGTGGAGTCTTTTGTCCAACCTTGTAACTTGAGACCCTCCGAATGCTCCCAGGTGGATTCACAATCAACTTCCATATGTGCACATCGACGGCGACTTGACATGTCCAATTTGCTTGGACCAACTCCACCTTCATGAGCAAGTTAAGCAGCTGCCATGCCAACACTGTTATCACGAAGAATGCTTGATGGAGTGGGGATGCCGCTGGAGTGGCTCCGGCTCTCCAACACTCTCTTGTCCTCTTTGCAGGGTAAACCACATGGTTTGTGTCCCTCCACTTTGAAGGAGAGGGTGGAGAATGTGAGCCGGTCGAATGGTCCAATGAACCACGACCAAGAGCAGTCTGTGATGCAAAATGTTTAAGTCTAAGTGAACTGCTGACAGCTGAGCGCAGGCTCGCTTGCTTTCAGAATTTCACAAACATCTTCACATATAGATGGGTGTGTGTGTTTCACCCATCACTTAGGATCTGTTTTTTGACAGTCCTTCATCATGCCAGTGTTATCATAATTTGTGCGCTGGTGGTTTACATTTTCTGAAGCAGGTAGACTGGTAGACTCGATTGCATGGACCTTCTGCCCAAACTGAATGGCTTGCTTTTTGAGCAGTGCTTGGGATTTGTCCAGGTAGATGGGTGTGTTAGACTGTTAGTGTGCCTTTCTCTTGTTAGAATCTGTGCAGCTAGATTCGCTCATCCTGCTAAATATGTTTAAAGTTGTGTGAAGGAAATAGACTCGACTGCGAAACTATTGAGGGTGGGGTATGGACCCCAAAAGGCCAGGAGAGCCGGAAGAGGCAGATGAGTGTGTCTCAAGCAATTGCTATATTAATTACATATATATTGCTGCCCTTCTAAGATATTACAGTATCTCTCGGTCACAGGTAACAACTTCCCGGAAGTCTATACATAGAACCACCTGGCTTACAAGAGGTACTTTCAAGGCAAGATCTGTAAAGAAGAAACTCTTAAAGAATTTTTATTTGAACAACCTAGTCAACCGCAATGTTCGAGACATTAAGTTATTGTCTATAGTCTATATTCATATGGGCTTGCCAGTGTGAACACCGTCCCTCCAATATGTACAGTTTCTTCCTTGAGCTGAGTGGGGATGAAGGAATGACGGATGAGTCGACAAAGAATCAGAAGAAGCACTTCACATTCGGGACTTTGATATGCAGGAGCCGTTGACCAGCAAATACTCCGGAGGCGGGGTGTGAAGGTTTAGCACCCCCGCATAAGGATGACATAGTACAAACAGTGAAGCTATCATGAACCTAGCATAGTGGCTCGAGAGCGGATTTAAACAAGGGGCATGGCGGCATGTCCGTTCTCTTGCATTGGCTTTCCAGCCATTGTATCACATACACCGGGTGGAGCATATATCTTGCCATATCTTGCCTGTGCATCCGAGTCTGCCATCTCGAGCATCGAGCGTTTGCTCTTGCAAGATGTCAACCTTGAGAGAAAAACGTGACAGCGTGTGTTTGCTCATGCTCCGGAGACTGTGCAGAATCCTTTTTCCAAATACGTGTTAGGGACTGTTAGGGGCTGCCCCCACCCAGTCACAAAAAGGGCCCATACCATCCAATCCTAAGCATTTCACATTAATCCGTCAGATTCGGGTTATGGTTCAGCTGGACAAAGCAAGAAATCAAGTAGCACGAGCAGGCCCATACAGGACTCAACGTACATCCGTACATACCATGGTCCAGACCGAGTTTGTGCATTCATAAGATCCAACCGGAAAATCAAGAGGAACCCCGAGTTCAAACGATGATATTATTTGATGAGCGTCCAATTATATAGTCAGAGCAATGTGCAAGAGCAAGCTGCATCCAGAACTGAACGAGTTTTACGGTCTTCACTGTTGTGAGCGGGACATCAGATACTGTTTTGTGGGAAGATGCGTGTGCGCCATCCTAAGATAAGCGGATTATTTTCATGTTGTTTTGTGTCAATGTTTGATATTCGTCTCTCACAACCTAGGAGAGATAAACTAGGAACACACCAGCATGTTGTCCTTGAGATTGGTAAGGTGAAGTTGTAGCATGACAGCAACCAAATTTAGAGGCAGAAACCAAACCAACACTTGATGTCACTGATATCACAAGAGAGTTTGTTTTTTGCTTTTTGCCATTCTGTTCCAACACCCTCGCAAACCATCCAAGACCGGGAATCGCACTTCTTTCGTACATGTCAACCAATGCGGTTTGGTTTCGACTCCGCTGGTTCATTGAGAGACTGACTTCATCCCGCTGTTTTCGACTCAACAATGGCTGTGGGGTGGAAATGAGTGGCTTTAAGCCCGAATCACTGTGCTGGTGTAAGTGGGCAGGTGCTTTCGGGTTTTCGATGTTTGTTTGTGTCCAATGGAAAAATTGCCAGACTACATAGCACTGATTGGGTTCTTTGTTGTCGTCCAAGTTTCAGAGTGATATGAGCGTCGTTCAAAAACCTACCTCTTCCTTGTTAGTGATCGAATTTCAAAGGCTGATTTCGAGTGTGCTCTCACTGCAGTCGCGAAAGGTTCGCGAAGGTCCTGCGAAAGGTCTGCGCAAGTCATGTTGGTGACCTGGCCACGCTGCAAGAACAATTGCTCTTCAGACTTCCGATTGCTTTTTCCCGGGTTGGGAAAAAGCAAATTGGAAATCTGAAACAATTGTGCTTTTTCCCGGGCCGGGAAAAAGCAAATTGGAAGTCTGAGCCTTTTGCTTTTTCCAGGCCTGGGAAAAAACAAGTTGGAAGTCTGAACCATTTTGCTTTTTCCCGGCCCTGGAAAAAGCAAATTGGAAGTCTGAGCAAACTGGCCTGACTGAGCCGTCTCTTGTTCATGGAGGGTTGGGCAATCAAAATGGCTTGGTTGGAAGTCTTGACCATTTTGCTTTTTCCCAGCCCGGGAAAAAGCAAGTTGAAAGTCTAGATCATTTTGCTTTTTCCCGGCCCGGGAAAAAGCAAATTGGAAGTCTGACTGAGCAAACTGGCCTGACTGAGCCGTCTCTTGTTCATGGAGGGTTGCGCCCAACCAAAAACACACCAGCATGAAAATGGCTTGGTTGGAAGTCTTGACCAGTTTGCTTTTTCCCAGCCCGGGCAAAAGCAAATTGAAAGGCCTGGCTGAGCCGTCTCTTTGTTCATGGCGGGTTGGGCGCAACCAAAGCCGGAAGTCTTGATCATTTTGCTTTTTCCCAGCCCGGAAAAATGCAGGTTGAAAGTGTAGGCCGGGAAAAAGCAAATTCAAAGTCTGAGTCAAATTGGAAAAAATCCCTTTATATCAGGGTTACGAAGTAAAATCAAAGAGCTGTGGCCTAATGGATAAGGCGGTAGGCTCATAAGCAGAAGGTTGCGGGCTCGAATCCCACAGGTGCTGCTTGTTTCTAGGCCGGATTCCAAACTGCAAGCCTGATACATTTTGCTTTTTCCCGGGCCGGGAAAAAGCAAATTGGAAGTCTGGACCATTTTGCTTTTTCCCG